CTCCTTTGTTTGAGCCATGACACACTTCCACATACCTGTGTTGTGAAGATCAGACTTTGATGCTGAAGACTCAAAGTTCTGTTCTTTAAATAAGGCAAGACCTCCCACACTCAGACCTGATTATCTTCCCATAGATTGAAACATCTGACTCTAATTTCCCATTCAAATGAACCAATAATCCTAGAGGTTCACATAGTTTTGCCACACTCAAATATGTAGCTTTGGATCATTTTCTTCAATGAATAAATGAACGAATATAATGTTTTTGACTCATTTGTTTAAAGGGGTCTCTTTATCTAGTTGAGGACTTGTGTGGAGAACAGATCATGTTTTAGGACATATTTATGCAGAAATATTGAAAATTCAAGAGTTCACAAATTTTTAAACACCACTGTATTATTACCAAACAGGTGTCCTCCATCTTGTATCTGTACATTTGATTTCAACAAAACACTAAACACATTTATAAAAAAAAGTTTCTAAAAATATATGTAGTCAAGATAGATCATAAAAAGCCAGCTGAATTGAAACTCACTAGAATAATGCTGGAGTAGACTGGACTAGAAAAGAAGTAATTACATGGAGAAAACCAGGTAGCCAGGAGTTTGATAAGCATGAGAGTGGCATCAGAGAGATGAACAGTGGAAATGTTTAATCAAATATTGTGTGAAATCTATTAAGGAACAGATTGTTTTAACAATATGTTAAATGATATACACAGATTTCAAAACAAGGAAACCACAAAGTACATTCTGAAAATAATAAATCACATTCATGTTAGGCTCAATGAACTCTCTACCATTACAGTTTCACATTCCCTAATAAATCTTACCAACACACAACAAGACATTTAGGTTAACCAAGAGTATGTTGAGCATCCCCTACATGTTCTCAGACATACAAACACTAGTCTTACTTTAGGATGAGAAATCATCTGAACAAATGTCCTGCAAGCTTGGGGTTGGAAGTCTCTAAGCCAGGGTTTCCAAAACTGTGAGGTGTACCTCCCTTGGACCAGTGCAGAGTCCAGAGGAGGTATGAAGAAACTTTTAGTTACATTGTTACAATAAATCCAGCTTTCCCACAGTTTCATTGTATTGTTTTCATTGTTCATTTATGTTTATTTTGGTGTTTGGATTTTCAGGGGAGGTACGTACATTAAGATTACACTAAAGGAAGGTGTGACAGCAAAACGTTAAGGAACCCCTGTTTGAAGGCTTTCAAATATCTCTAGGCTGCAAAGAACTGAATGTTGAAGAGCGATAAAAACTCACTGTGAATAAAACGGAATTAATACTAAATCTGAAGGTAAGACTTCAGAATTCAGGAGGAATGGCAAAGCACTTCCCCTCAAGGATCAGGCTGCTATTTGAGGATCCTCTTGGACCAGGGACTGATGCTAGACAACTACATAATATCAGCGTAAGGTAGACCCATCAATTCGAGATTCCTGTTGCTTCACATAACTCACGCAGATAGAGATCCGCAACACACCACGTTGATAATCCTTGTACAGCTCAGTCGCTTTTGTACTGCACTCAATGCACCGGTAATAGCCAGGCTCCTCCATCTTCCCAGACAGAACGAACCCACAAAAGCTCCTTCGGAGTGTGTTTTATTTTGTTCGCTTCCGGGTTCCGCTCGCAGAGCCGAGAACCCGCGGAGCATCTCGGTATTCGTAGTTTTGCGCTCGATACCCAGCACAGCAAAAGTTTGGGCGCAAAACTACCATTCCCAGAAAAGAACTCGCTCGCCCACTAGCTGCCAGGGCTCTGTGGGAGGGAAAGGCGAAAAAGGTAGATTAATCTGCGCAGGCGTGGTACGAAGATGGCACCTGCTTGTGGCGCTCGGGGCTCCTGGCCGAGCGTCGCGGCGCCGAGGCTGCTTTGGGCACTGCTGGCGATTGTCCGGCCGTTGCTGGTTCCGGCTGAGCAGTACCCGTCATTGTCTCTGCGCCACCAGCAAGGGAGCAGTTGCTACCCGGAGTTTTGGGTGGCTGACTGGGATGGGGAGCAATATGCGGCAGCTGCCGGAGATGGTGGTGAGTAATGGGCAGAAAGAAGGAGCCGGAGGGCCGGCCAGTTTCTGGGGGTAGAAACGTAGGACAGGCTGGGCCTGTTTCGACTGCAGAAGGGCGAGTCCGTGATGGAGTTGCATCTTTTCACCCACAGGTCCAGCAGTCAGGGAATGGGCTACATCAGTGTTTTTCAAACTTGGCGACTTTAAGATGTGTGGACTTCAACTCCCAGAATTCTTGGAGTTGAAGTCCACACATCTTAAAGTTGCCAAGTTTGAAAAACGCTGGGCTACGTGATGCCTGAAGAGCTGCTGGGGCTGGAATCCAACAGGAGCTTGGGGACGGCTGAACCGTTCTTCCCAGCTGCATTTTTCTGGGGGCTGACACGCCAGAGGTCATCTTGTCCAATGAGGGGATTGCAACCCTGCAAGGATGAGGCGGTCAGTTGCAGAACACTTGAAGATAAATGGGCTTGCATCCATGACAGTAGCACTAGGCAAGACAATGAATGGAGTTTGCTATCTGGGCCAATTGTGTGGGGTAAGTTTCGGTTATTAGGCTTGATGAAGACAGGGCAGTTGGTTATGTTTGGCTCAACCTTAGCCCTTCCTGGTTTTTTTCGCCTTACAGAGAGAAGCTGGGTTGTTGGGTCTAAGAGGTTGGAGATATCTTTTTGAGGGAGGTGGTGGTAATAACCTCTTCAAGGGTTATTATGATTAGGCTGCTATGAAGAAACCTTACCTGAATCAGGAAGATAAAAACAATTGTAGGGTGGTTGCTAATACCTCCTTTCATAGTACGGTACTTGAAGTGATCTTGATGATCATTTTCAGGCACACTTGGATAAGACTGATTTTTTTTTATCATTTCCATCCAGTTTCAGGCCTGGCTTGGCAGATATCACCTTAAATGTCCTCTCTTGAGAAAGCAAGGTTGGGAGTGCAGTTGTGTTGGCTGTTTGGGGTCCCTCAATATTTTTTCATTATCAGTGATGATATCCTTCTGGATCAATTCAAAATACTACGATTAACCTAAAAACTGCTTAAGTGGCTTTGACTAGGTTGTCTAAAAGAGAATTGCTTTCTGTGTTGATTTACCAGGCTCCTAGGATCCTTCCCTAGCCCTTTCTCTAGTGAGGTATGAGAAATCATGAAGAGGTTGAGAAAGTAATGGGAGGAACTCTAGACATAACCTGCAACAGATGGAAGAGGAGTTTGTTGGTAGCTCATTTCATAAATGGCAGCTCAGTCCAGGTTGCAAAAGCCTGGGAAGAAGTGATGCAATTTTTTAAAAGAGACTACTGTACACCTCAATGAATTCATTAATACAAGAGGGCTGGAGGTTGAAGTCTATGATTGTGTCCTTCAGTATGGGGCTAGGTTGGTGATAGTGGTATGTTATTCTTTAATGAATGATGGTAATGGAAGAACCAGAGATGAGCTTTTTATTTTTTAAATTGTACACTATTCTGAATGAATGTGATCAGAGGAAAAATGTATTCTGTTAGATGTCATGAATGGGTGAGGGAGACCAAGATGAGAGGGAACAGAAAAACTGATCAGGCCATTCAGTGACCCAAGAATGATGAGTGAGGATCTCCTTAGAAAAACTCTGTTCTGAATACTGTATGTGACTTAAGCATATGTTTACTCATACATATACATGCAAAAGACTGAATATAAAACGCATAATTGATTGTTTATGATGAAAGACAGAGATAATTTATGAGGGACACAATGGTGAGGAGGGGTTCTGAATGCAGGATGGAACATTTTTTTTTTATAGTGTCAAGACCGAATCTTTGGAAGAAGAGGAAAGTAATGAAAGAAACAAGAATAAAAGTAGAACAATTGCAGGAACAGAAAGTGGGGCCTTTATGAAAAACTATTACAAGATTACTCTTCCCAATAAAATGAAATGGACTTAAAGAAAGAGGATGCGGAAGTTGAAGCAGCAAAAAGAATTATGATTATGGAGAGCTGCAGAAATGTGGAGTTAATGTAATCGGACGTATGAAAAATGATAATTGGAAGTATGAAGTGGAGAAGGCTGTGAAAGGAAAACATTCATATAAGAATAGATTGCTGTAAAAATGAGAGTGAGAGAAAGAATTAGTTGCAAAGAATGTGGTCAGAGAACAAGGAATAGTTAAAGTTAAAAGAGGCTGAGAAAATACAGAGCAATTTTGATGAAAATAAAGAAGTATTTTGAAGTATGTTAAGAGGACTAAGCAAGGAGTGAATGAAATTAAAAATAAAAGTGGAGAATGATTTGGAATAAAAGTGAAATGAGTGAATGTTGAAATGAATATTTTAAAGATTTGTGTGGGGATGATAGATAGTTCTCCCATAGAGCCAATCTACTGTGATAAACTTGTAATTAGGACATTATTCAGTATTGGAACAATTGATCTAGAAATGTTCTTTCCATGTCTAAACAGCACTACTCTCTTTATTTAAATTCCCCTTAAGTTTGTAAGTTGAATGTACCAATTAACAGTAACAATATTTCCATTTTAGACTCATCATTTTTGCACTTTCATGATTCAGACTGTGAACTACAAGGGTCTTCATCTTGTGAACCTCAGCTTTCTTGCACTACAGAAAAACTTTTGGTAGGTTTATTCATTGTGTTCAGGAAGAAGAATGCTGAAAACAACTTGCAGTATAACTTCAGTTGAATTGTTCCATAGCTTTTGCTTTGGAGTTGTTAATTTAATGCATTAAAACATTTTTTTTTTTTTGCAGAGCCAAGCAAAAACACTTGCCAAAGGAAAAAAAATTCCATTTGCTACAGATGATGACTATACAAATGAAGAATTAGGTAAGATACAATACGAGTATTTTCTAAGTTGGTTTCATTTGTAAGTGAACTGAGCCACAAGGAACAATGAACACATCCTATAGATCACCACAACTGAAGGAGGTGGATTCCTGTATATGATATATTTCTAAAGAGTAGCATGAGCTAAAGCTACTATTGAAATCCTTTTCACTATCCATTTCTGGATGTGTTCATGGGACAAAAATTCAGTATGAAATATTGATTTAAAATCTTAATTTGTCAGTTTGACTAGAACAACAGAGCTTTGGGGATACCTTAAAGACTAGAAGCACAATCTTATGTCCTGCTGAATTTAATGACATTTATTTTACAACATTGTATCCAAGGGGATGCCTAGGACCAGTGGTATGAGTACTTCATTAAATAGGGCTGATTTGGGCCAGTCTTGTACCATATAAATCTCGTAAGCTTTGGCTCCTCATCACAATGAAGTTCTCATAACTTATATGAGGCCACGCTCCAAGTTGTTTTTTAATCTCTGTAAAAGCATCCATTGGTTTTATTTGATCCATATTCTGCTTTGTGTTCAAGTATGTTTCTTGAACTCTACGTGGAATTACGTGAACTGTAGATTGAGATGGAATGGCTCTCTTGAAGATAGGATAGCCCAATGGTTTCATTCAGAGGAAAGAAGTGCATACTTTTCAACCCCCTGTGATTTTGGGATACCCTCAGACCCAACCGTCCCACAAGATAGCAGAACACTTGATGTATTTCATCATCTCATAGCTAAGCTCCAGCCTTTTATAACAAAGGTGAATACCAATCCTATCAGGACGGGATGCCATTCTAAGAGATGGTTTGACAAATCTTGCATCGCTGCCAAAGCAGCATTATTGGAATCCTAAGCTACCTCACTGAAGACTAATTTACTAGATTCTACCCAAATTCTAAAGGAGCAGAAAAGACAATGTAAGGCTCTGCTCAGAAAGAGAAAAACCCAAGATTTTTGGGTCAGCTTTTTGATTTTGACAGCTGATTGAAGCTACAAAGTCCAAAATTCCTTCCCTAGTCTGGCATACTATAACAAATCATTCCCATAATGGCATTACACAACTGCATTATAGCATCCCCTTAAGTACCTGGGTACATCACTTCCAAGCCCTTTATTGCGATCTGCACGCTAACACCTATGTCCTTTATCCTCACTACTGCAGTGGCCCCCGTCACCTGCAAGGAAGTTAAAAATCTCATTAACCAGCTTAAAAGTGGTAAAGTCCCCAGGAGTGACTGTATTCCTCCTGAGCTAATAAAATCCAGTTTAAATTGGTGGGCCCCTGTATTGACCTCTTTCTTTTCATACATTAACCACACAGCTAAGATTCCAGAGGACTAGGGAGGAAGCTATAATTGTATCCTTATATAAAAATAAATGATAGGAATGACCCAGCTAATTATAAGCTAATTAGTTTATTGAACATCATTAGCAAACTAAATGCCAGGTACCTATTCACCAAACTCCAATGTTGTCTTGAAGCTAATGTGTCACATTAAGGCTCAGGTCTGGACCAGGATTCTAATCTCCAGGGGCTTAGAATCATGTTTGACCCTACAGGTCTGTTGCCTCTGCTGTTGTCAGACAGCTACCAATCTCATTGGCACCATACCTGTATAGAAGAAATTTGCAGCCTTGGCCTCTCTCCTGAACATTTAGGCTAATTAACCCTTGAGAAGGCCAAATCAGTAAAAGAAAGAATTAGGGATGTTGATTGCCAAAATGATATCACTAGTACTCCTAAATTGTATTGCCAAATGTTAGATAGCCGCAAACCTTCTACTGCAGGGTATCTATACAATCTAACCCTAAGCAAATATAGATGGGCCTTTTCCAGAGCCCGCTTCCATGCCCTCCCTTCAGCACTGCTGGTGGGAAGATTTCATGGGACTCCTTATTTACAGAGACTTTGCCTTTGTAGATCCAGGGATGTAGAAACTCTTGTCCGTGTCCTCGGAAGGTGTCCTTTTTATGATGCCCTAAGATGTGCTTTGATCTCCCCAATCATCTCTAAATTTGAGGGTCATACTGATAAATTTTATGTTTATTATTTTTTAAGGGATGCTAACTGTACCCTCAGATACCAGGTGGCCAAATATCTTCATCAAGTCATACAATTGTGCAAAACTCTTAATCAGATATGTTGTTTATTGCCTTATTGTTTTCTTTTTTTCCCTGACAATGAATTGCTATACCAAAGTATTTCTCTTTTCCTACTGTAAAGGCTGGTCAAAGACTGTAATAAAGATATTTGATTTAATTTGATTTGATTCAGATAAATATTGTCTGTCCACATCCCATTCATGCTGTTTGAGAGGGTTCCCAACCTTTTGAAACAGATTTATGGAGATTGCAAAGAGCTGTAGTGTAAAAGAAGAATGAGTAAAAATGATTTCTTCCCCTTTCCCCATTCTGTGAGCAAGAATTTCTTTTGTATCATAGGAAGCTGTATTATGCTGAGTCAGATCATTGCCCTGTGTGGTTCATTAATATCTTCACTGATCAGTAGCAAGTCTTATGCAAGCAATGCATTGATATTTTACTTAGAATATGGCATTCTATTTAGGTAATTTTACTACATTGGTTGGTATATTTATTGGCTATTGTATAGTAGTGTTTGATCAGGAAATTGGGTTATCCCAATATCTGGTTTTCAGGATTTACAGTTCCTTGTGGGATTTTCAAGAATCCTTATATATGTAAATGTGTAATTACAGAAGCTTGATTTAATAACCTAAAATATTATTTTGGCAGCTATTGCTTATGTATTGATTGGCATTGGCCTTTATGAGGAAGCAATACAACACTTTTCAAAAATGCTTCAGGTAACTTTTCTTTTTTACATTCTTATTAAACTTTAGTAAAAGAGTTTCCCCAAAAAGATACTTTCTTCCTTGGGGAAGAGTGGCAGAGAGTAATATAAACTTAATATGCAAAACAGAGGCTTTTAGGGTTGAATTAGCATTTAAAGTGTGATGGATTCTCATATTTGGGCAAAAGTCATGGTGTGCTGGAGCTGCTTGTATTCAGTCAGAGAAAATACAGCTCAAAGAAAATTACAGGAAACAATTTCTGTGGGTGAAATCCAGTGACATCTTTCTGTAGATGAAAGCAGTTTTCACTTGTGGAATTGAAGTCTCCATTTATGTCTAATCCTCTGGAGTAGATTTTGAAGATTTATTTGGAGTTACAGGGCATTTCAAATTTAGGAGAGAGTGAAGGAAAGTCCTTTTGTATAAGTAGATGTCTTGGAAACTGCCATATATGAATATACAATTGTTTTTGACACTAGGAGCACACATTTGGGGTATCACGGGTGGCATGCAGTGGTGGATAGTGGTTTGATACATGCACATCCATGCATATAATGTCTCTGTTGGAGTGAAAATCACAGTCCTTCCCAGTTGTGAAGCAGCTTTAATTAGCTGATTCCAAGAGACATCAGATGAACTATAGGTAGTCCTCGCTGCACAACCACAACTGGGACAGGTAGCTCCATCGCTAAGCGACGTGGTCATTAAGTAAGACATCACGTGACTGCAACTTGCAATTTTACTGCTGGCTTCTCCATTGGCTTTGCTTATCAGAAGCCAGCTGTGAAATTGTAAATGGCGATCATGTGACCATGGGATGCTGCGACAGTTGTAAATACCTGCTGGTTGTGAAGTGCCCAAATCTTGATCACATGACTCTGCTGGGACGCTGCGATAGTTGTAAGTGTGAGGTTGCAAAGTTACTTTTTCAGCACCATTGGTTGCTAAACAGGGCAGTCGATAGGTGAGGACTACCTGTAGTCTGCCAGTAACCAGAGTTTTCTAATAGAGATACAAAGTTACTTATATCCTTAAAAGCTATATATACAATAAATTATTATTGTCTTATTATTTGTTATTGTTATATTAATAGCACAGGAAAGTTATGAAAATAAAAATCCATTATGAAGGCCTTTAAAATCAAAGCTAAATGTAACAATGTGAGCAAAAGCTGCAAGTAGTTCTAGAGCCACATGCATCAACCCTTAGGTGCAGATACATTTTTTTTTTCAGTTTGAGTTAAACATTATGGCCTTCTTAGTTGTAGAATTTGCTGTAAAAATATATGCGTTACAATCTTCTAAAGATCACTTTACTTTGCTCTGCATAGGAACAACCAGAGCTCATCAGTGCAATTTATGGGCAAGGGATAGCATATGGAAAGAAAAGGCAACATGTGAGTACTTAATATATTTGAAGCAGCAGACAATAATTTACAGTGCAATTTTGTAATTTTGAAAGTGTACAAACTCTTATGAATTCAAAACGTTTCAAGCTTGAAATGGATTATTCCGTGCTTACTAGAAATGTTCTGACACTTCCAACTATTCTGGGAGTGTTCCAAACTTGAAGCACGTGTTGAGCTCCAGAACACTTCTGGGGCACTCAGAGCATTTCAAGTAAGGTCAGAACAGCTATTTCAGACTTGAAACAGGGGTTTCAGGCTCAACATACTTCAGAATAAAGGTTTGGTGAGGCACTACATTAATTGACTTAACATATATGCATTAGCAGATCCAGGATAGGGGCAGTTCTGTTGAAATCCTAAAAAAAAAAAGCCTCATTTTTTCTGTTTTGCTTGTAAATAGCTTAGGCCAATATCTAAATTTTGAACATCAAAATTTTAGAACAACATTATCGCCCTGAGGTGAGATTGGCCTTGACCTCGTTGGCCTTCTGGAAGAGCCTGAAGATATGGCTTTGTCATCTGGCCTGGGGATCCAGTGATCTTGATGGAGAGCCTGCTAGGTGGCTGTACTGATAGGAAAATGATTTATGTTTTTAAGATTTTTAATTGTTTTATTTTTTTTAATGCTTTTAATGATTTTTTTGTGGTTATTTTTGGGTTGAGTTTGTATCGTTCTCTGGATTTTTAACTTTGTAAGCTGCCCAGAGTCATGGTAGTTATCAACTGAATAAATAAATAAACCCTGACTTAGTATAATTTCGAGTTTATATGGTAAGTATTCTCAGTTGATTTTTTGAACTGAATTAACACGAAGGCTTTAAATACAGTAGGATTAATTAGCAAAAGAAAGGGAGGCTGCATAGTGTAGTTCAGTTCAGCCTTCAGAAGTATTTGCCTCTGTGGTGCTTTCAGGAGTCCAGAAGAAAATGCAGAATGCTTTTAGTTTACAGCTCGGTTATCTCTGCGTGAAAAGATAGTCATCTGACTTGATGCCGCCTTGAATTTGAAATTGTCACGGGATTGCTATAGAAACAGCCATATTTTTATGTACTCTTTTCCTTTTAGCAAAACCAAAATCATTCTTCACCCCAGCTTCTGACTTCAAAGTATACATGGAAGTTCTGTTGGAAACGGCCCAGTGAACCATTCTTTTCTCTTAGCATATATAAAACAGTCCACATGAAAGCAGTTGGTTTGACGCCTTTGGTATTGTTCATTCGAAACCCTGTGAATCTAACTTCATTTTAATTAAACTAAATATACTAAAGCTTACATTCATTATTTTCCAGGATATTAAAAATGCAGAGCTTGCTTTGTTTGAACTAAGCAGAGTAATTAGTCTGGCACCAGATCATCCTGAAGTGTTTGAACAGCGAGCAGAGGTACTTTCCCCCTTTTAAAATACTCTTTGATGTCTGTATTTTTCCTCCATTTTAAAATATTATTGAAAGTTCTTTATTGTTGAAAATTATTGTCTTAAATGCAGTGTAACTACTATATGCATTTTATGCCATCTGTATAGTTCAAAGGGTAACATATAGTGTTTATTAAGCTTTGTTATGCAGTACTCTATCCAACTATCAATACATTCAGGGTAGTGACAGTTATTTGGGTGAAAAGCAGGCAGAACCCAGGGTTAGAGAAGATGGGGGCCAGCTAAAGCTGATATTTCCCCATTATTAGCTTTAAATACACTAAGGGCATTCAAACAATGCATTAGGATTGCTTTGCAGCTGAGCAGATTGTGTATGGTTTACCTTGGTATTTATTTATTAGATTTTTAAAACTGGTATAGTCTTGTGTCTCTCAGCCGTTTACAGAAATAACATCGGCAATATCACAATATAAACTAAAATAGTGAGACCTTAAAAACAGGGGAGTAGATTACTAGGTCAGTGCTGGGAGAAGACCACTCCTTACCTCCATCCCTATTCTTCAATTAAACCAGATTTCCCTCCCTGCTTTGAAGCTTGCCTCAAAGGTTTTAAAGTGAACTGATTGTGAAAAAAAAATGGTTACATGCTGAAAACAGTTCTGTTATGCCAGTGTTGTACTTAATAGATAATTGCAAAACATTTTGTTTTATGTGTGGCAGTGGTGATATGGACTTCTTGTGTAAAACTTAATCCAGAGTCTTTTTAGTTGCTATTGGGAGTCAGATACTGAAATAACAAATTTCCAATAGAATATTTAGGTGTATGGAAGATATTCATAAAGTACAAAGTAGCTGTCCTTGCTGCTATTAAGTAGTTTTTTGTTTTTGTTTTAAATTTACTACCAGAATTTTGTGATACAACCACACGTATGAAGCTTGCAGTCTTTTTTCCATTATTTAAAAGAACAAGGCTAAATTGGCATGCAGACTGTACTGTTATCAAACACGAAGCTAGGTTACTTGTGGGACCTTGCCTCTCCTCAATAGTTTCTGCCCATGCACCAGATCTGGCAGAGTGGGTGTGCTCTGGATCATCTCAGTGAGGCACCGTCACCTTGTGGGATCTAGGAAACAGGCCCTCTCTGTCGTATGGAGAACCCCAAATTTATTGGCCTTTCAGAGGGCTGTGAAGACCTGACTTTTTCCCCAGGCATTGTGGCCAGGCTGTTAGTTTGGGAGCTTTGGCGTGGATGTATGGTATAGGTATTTTGTGTTTTTAATGAGAGGACCTATTGTTGTTGATCTTTTATTTGGTAAGTTTGCTGCCCAGAGTTTGGTTGGATAGATGGTCGGCCTTACAAATGTGATTAATAAATAAAAAATAAAATAAATAAGGGACTTCCAGACTGCTGGAGCACCAGAGCAGCCCTCTTGGTCTTTCTTGTTAAAATATGAAACAAGAATCATGATGCTATCCTGTAAAGAAAGAAAGACTTACTTTAGCTTTGTCATCAAAAACCATTGTTTGCTCAATATTGTAAAATGACAACATAAAATCTTATTAACAAACAGATATGTCTTAAGTAGCTCAAAGGAGCTATTCTAAATGGAGCTGTGGGAATCAGGCAGAGAATTCCTCCTGGACATTCTGCTTGGCTTAGTCTATGAAGAATCCTGTGTATATAATAAGGCAGAACCAAGATGGCATGATAAATCATAGAGAGGAGCAAGAGTGTTCATTAAGTAGAACTGTTGCTGAGGAAGAAAGCCTGAAAGCTAACTGATTTGGAGTTGAAGCTCTGAACTTGTGCAGTACTGATGATTTGTTGTGGGGGAGGGGGTAGTGGTCAGGGGTGAGGATGTACTTGGGCCCTAGCAGGCAGGAGTGGCCTGCCCACTGTGCTTATTAAAAAATATTCTCTTATTAAATAGGAACACTTTCATCTATCTAATCCTTTGATGATATTAAAACTGTGTTATTGTGTAAACAAGCCTGCCTTCAAAGAGCATGTAAATATAATTGATTCTTTTTATGTGTCTGTGTATATGAAGTTGTGTGTGACAAATGCAGCATTTTTTATAATTTTTGTACACGTGGACTTGGAATACTTTGAACAGAAATAAATGCATCATTTCAACATAGCCCCAATATCCTTTTTCTTCCCAAAAACTGTCTAACAGTAAATATCTTCTTTTAGAAGGGGAAATAAGAAGTAAATAGCCTTGTTTTAGAAAGGGAGTTAATAATATCTATCTCTTCACTGCACAATGATGAATTATTTGAATAGTACTTGTGTTCTCTTGGCCACCAAAGATGGAACTGACAGGAAAGGGTTAACACCACCTCTTCTAGCTAGAAGGCAGATCTTAAGTTTATGAAGAAAACTTTCAATTCAGTTGCATGGACTAATTAAGTGTAGGTCAACGTCATGTTTATTGAATAATTCACTGCAATGACAAAAAAACTTGCCACTGGCAAGAACATATGGGGTATAGAAGAACAATATTAGCAAACACAGTGCTTAATTATTTCATCCTGGAACTGATTGCTCCCAGATGCATATGTAAGGAACCTTCAATGAGAAGGCCTGATTGCAATGGGCAAGTAGGCCTCTGAGATGTCTAACTGAAGTGAGAAAGTAGACTTATATGTTTCCATTCTCAAGACTCAGTGCCTTATGTACTTGTTCAAAAGTCTGAGATTCAGGAGGGTTCTTCAGGTCCTATTTTTGTTTGGCACAATCAATTGAAAGGAAAATACACAAGATAATGCCTTTATCACAAAAAACCTGCCTCTTGGGTTTTTTGGAGCAAGTTCGGAGGAGGGCTACCAAGATGGTAAAGTGTCTGGAAACCAAGCCCTGTGAAGAGCAGTTAAAGAATGTGGATATTTATTTTATTTATTTTTATTTATATG